TATCTTCACATACAAACAACTTACGAACTTTAAAAACAAGCAGAACTTCAAAATTATTCAATCAATGAAGAGGAATAAAATAACTCCACAACGTGCTGAAGATTTAGTTTATGTGCATACAAATCTTCGTCTTCTATCAAGGAAAACCCCACTTTATATGACAGGTGATAACAAGATGTGGGATGTTGCTAGAGATGGGTTCGAGTGCCTTGATGATATGGGATTATTGGAGGTTGCAAATCTTTCTCTAGATGAACCAGAGTTGGAAGCAATGATATTCAATGATGATGATATTGAAGGCCAAAGACCAACATCTGAATCTAATTTCATCATTCCCTCTATTGAGTAGTTAGACCTTCATGTTGTATTAAATGGTTTTTTGCTTATATTTTTGTGTTTGTATTAAATATTTTGTACTAAACATCTTTATGTTATAAGCTAAATAAGTTATCAACTTATCATGAAATTGATTTATTATTGCTTGACATTTTTACTATAATGTCACCTTAATTTTTATATATTATATTAAAAAATTATTATGTCGTGTACACGCCGCACCCGTGTCCTATATTTTTAAAATTGCTGTGTCACGTGTCCGTGACGTATCGTGTCCGTGTCGCCGTGTCCGTGTCAGTGCATCATAGTCAAGAAGTGATGGAAGCAGGGATTATCGGGCCTAATGTGAGCCCTTTCTCTAGTCCTGTTATGCTGGTGAAGAAGAATGATGGTAGTTGGAGGTTCTATATGAATTGTAGGGCTTCGAATAAGGAAATTGTGTTGGAAAAATTTCCCATCTCGGTGATTGATGAACTCTTAGATGAGTTATTTGGGGCAATGATTTTCTTCAAGAGTGATTTGAAGTCAGGATACCATCAAATCAAGATGAAACAACATGAGATGGCCTTTAGGACACATGAAGGGCACTATGAGTTTCTAGTGATGCCTTTCGGCCTCAATAATGCCCCTGCCACTTTCCATTCACTTATGAACCGAGTGTTCCAGCCATATCTCTAAAGGTTTGTCTTGGTATTCTTTGATGACATATTGATATACAGCAAGACTGAGACAGAACACTGGGAGCCGTTGAAGATAATAATGGAGACCTTGAGGGAGCTTCAATTGTTTGCCAATGGGAAAAAGTGCGCATTTGGGCAATCAAAGATTGAGTATTTAGGGATGTGGTGTCTAGAGAGGTGGTGTCAGCAATCCAGTTCAAGATTTAGGTTATCATGGACTACCCTCTTACTAAGAACTTGAGGGGGCTATGGGGGTTCTTAGGGCTCACCAATTACTACCAGAAATTTGTGAAGGAATACGACACCATAACAAGACTTTAATAAAGGAAGAAGGATAACTTCAAGTGGAGAAAGAAAGCGACACAAGCTTTCAAAGAGTTGAAGACAACTATGACCAGTGTACTAAATTAGCGCTCCCATATTTTGGGAGACCATTTGTGGTGGAGACAGATGCATCAGGTTATGGGTTAGGAGCAATACTCATGCAAAATTAGAAACCTAATGCATATTTCAACCAAGTGCTCACAACCAAGGCAAAGCTCAAGTCAACGTATGAACGGGAGCTGCTGGTGATTGTGTTGGAATTTCACAAGTGGCGGCCCTATTTGTTAGGGAGACATTTCATAGTCAGAACAGACCAAAGTAGTTTGAAGTATTTATTAGAGCATCAGATAGTCATGGTGGAGCACCAGAGATGTCGATCCAATACCGACCGAGCCTAGAAAACAAAGAAGCAAATGCATTGTCCACAAGGGTCAAGGAGCCATAGTTGGCAGCCTTATTAGTACCAATGACCTTAGATTGGGAAGCATTGAAGAGAGAGATTTAGCAGGATGAAGGGTTGAGGAAGATCAGGGAAGAGTTGTAGAATGACCCAAACAGTCACTCCGGTTATGCTCTGAGGGGGAAACAACTACTCTACCAAGGGAGGTTTGTACTCTCACGGTCCTCAAGTTACATTCCCAAGCGTCTACTGGAATTTCATGGCAGTGTGAGAGAGGGGCATTCAGGAGTACAGAAGACATACAGCCGACTATCTGCTAAGCTATATTGGGCGGAGATGCATCGGGATGTGGAAGACATGGTGGTGAGGTGCGATGTGTGCTAGAGGCATAAGTACCTGACTATAGCAATAGGGGATTACTGCAATCATTAGATTTACCTAAAGGGGTCTGGGAGGAAGTGACCATGGACTTTATCGAGGGTTTGACATGCTCAGAGGGAAATTCAGTGATACTGGTGGTGGTAGACAAATTGAGCAAGTATGCACATTTCATTTCGCTGAAACATCCCTACACCGCTATATCAGTTGTCACAGTCTTTATCTGAGAGAGTGTGCTTACATGGCATTCCAATATCAATAATATCAGACAGAGACAAAGTATTCCTTAGCCATTTTTATATGGATCTATTCAAGTTGCAGGGGACGATCTTAAAAAGGAGCCAACATACACCCATAGACGAGAAGCCAAACGGAAGTAGTCAATAGGAACATGTAGGCATTGTTGCGTTGTTTTATATCTTACACACCAAAACTACGGGCCAAATGGTTAGCATTGGCAAAGTATTGGTACAATACATCCTTCCACACAGCCGCACAAACAACCCCCTTTAGGATTTTGTATGGGAGGTACCCACCCCTATGGGTAGAGCACTACACCAGTGTCCAGTTTAGATTAGTACTTGGAGGTACCCCTATGGGTAGAGCACTACACCAGTGTCCAGTTTAGATTAGTACTTGGAGGAGAGGGGCAGGATACTAGTAGAACTCAAAAGGCATATATTGAGGGCTCAACAACTTATGAAAAAGAAGAAAAATAAACACAAATGAGGACAGAGTTTATTTGAAATTAAGACCATATATGCAAAAGAAACTAGCCAGAGGACGAATGAGAAGCTATCCCCACGCTACTTTGGTCCTTATGAGGTAATGGATCGCATTAGGGCAGTAGCCTATCGTCTGAGGTTACAAGCATCATCATCCATCCATCCATGCAGTATTCTATGTATCACAACTGAAGCACACTATCGGAGATCACACACCATCTTCCTCACTATCGATGATTTTAACTGAGGACATGGAAGTGATTCTGGAACCTAAGAAGATCAGGGGAGCATCGCAAGGGACGATAGGAGCAATGGAGGTCCTTGATCGATGGAAGGGATCTACCTTACTATAAAGCTAAATGGGAGCCCTATGAAAGATTAGGAGATAGTTCTCATCCTTCCACCTTGAGGACAAGATGCATTTTGAGGAGAGGAGCATTGATACGACAGCAAGACCAGTCCAGTAGGAGGGGGCGGACGGGGGCGGGACCAAAGAAAACTAAAGAAGGTTCGGCCCCCCTTGTGGGCCCAGCAAAACTATGATTCCATATGCATGGAGAAGGAATAAATAAGAAAATTAATCACTGTTCAATGCCAATTTGAATTCAAAATAAAGGAGAAAATTAAGGCAATAAGGCTATTTTGGGGGCAAATAGGAATAGCTTATTTAAGAGCTAGTTAATTTGTATTAGAGTTCTATTTTGATTGAGTTTGTTGTAGTCTTTTCAGTGATAGCTACCTAGCGACGTCTAGGTTGTTTGAGAGAGGTGATTTACCTCTCTAATCATAGACCATTATATGCTTTCGTATTGAAGTTATAATCCAAAAAATCAGCCACTGTTGGAGTATTTCTGCAATTTTTATCTTCTTTCTTTGTTGTTTGTGCTTCAAAAGGCGTGTCAATTTATACCCACTGAAAAAATAATACGCTGAGGTTTCTTCCTCCAAAACTAGGTGGCAGAGGAGAAGGTTGGGAAAAAAATATACAAAACGGAAAAAAAAAACAAATAAAACATAAGGAGCTTCTTGTTCTTGGACAGCATATTATTTTTGTTAGGATACAAACATCATACAATATAAACGAAAAATAAAAAAACAAAGGACCAGAGATTTCACTCAGTATTCATAACTGGACGATCTGTTAATCAGTATTCAACAAAAATTATCAAAAAAAAAAAAAACTGAATTTCCTTTTGCCACTAAAAAAGATACCAGAGCTCCACCTGTCTGTTTCTAAACAAGTGAACAAAATAAACAGGATAAATACTGAATAAACAGAAGCATCATAATAATAGATTGTAGCATCCAGAGAGTGGAAATGGCGAGAATAAGTTGACAAATCAGAAAAACGGTAATTTTTCCAGAAAATGGATAATAAAAGTAAGAAACTTATTGTTCTTAATTAAGATAGTTTATTAAAAATTTGAATTAGTTGAATTTTTCATAATAAACAATTGGAAAGAGTTGAGCAAACTTGTCTACGAGTAAACATTAGAAAATGCTGACTGAAACTATGTCCCATTTGGCATAGCAATTCACGGTTCCTCCAACATCATCAATTATATGTAAAGCAATAAGAAAATGGATAACAAGTAATTACCTCACAGCTGCGTTCTACGTCTGAAATCATCTCAACATATTCAAAAGATAATATACAAAACCCATCACGCAAAGCAGATGAGAGTCAGATTGATTACCTGAAGAAAATCATCAGCAGATGATGCCGAATTTAGCTTGACACCCCATGACTTTCGATAACCCTCTGTCCAGAAAGGCTGAAGAGCCTCTGCAGGAATAGAAACCTGCAAGGAGAATATAAGAACATCATAAGAATCACGAGTTTACTGCACAGAAAAAGGCATAACATGTTAAAATGTAAAATAGTAATAATTGTAATTAGCTATTTAACACTAGTACTCACCTCAATCAAGGACAATTGTGCCTTTAGTAAACGGACACCCATAGGAAGTGAGGAATCAAGTATTTGGCTTTCGGATTCTTTGTCTGTTTTCCTTTTTGTTATACAAATAGCAATATGCTCTGCAAACATAGCATCACCCTTATGGATGGATTTGAACATTCTGTGGCAAGAGGTACAGTGCCTTTCTTCCATGAAGTAAGACTGATAACAAATGTGGCATGTTTGCAGTAGCTCTGAACATCTTTTCTTACCATACCTCATGGCACATAAAACAAGAGAGTTGTAACATTCTTTCCACATCCATTTAATGAAAACCCGGTATCTCTTTAGTGCTGAATTTCTCTCCATCTTACTCCGCCCCAAATCAACCCTGAAAGATTTGGAGTACTCTATGGTGTCAGAGGTCACACCACTGTGTACACTACTAGGACTATCGTGCTCAGCATAACAATCTGGACTAGGAATCAATTCATTGGACCCTCCATTAAAAAGAAATTCATTTGTGTTTGTTGAAGGGAAATGTTTTTTATGCCTTGTCAGGGCTTCTTTGAAGGTTGTCTCAATTCTTTGCAACATAGAATGCAGATGCGATTCCCTTATCCCACGTGTATCAAGAGCAGCCAAAAGAGTATCAAAAGTCTGAACAAGAAAATTTTGAGGCAGCAAATAATTTATTATAAAAGCTCAAAAGAGATCCATTAAATAGCATGAATAACAAATCTATCCTACGCAGCAGAAAAGCCAACTAGATAACAATGGTTAGTTTGCTTTCATACAAAGTTTCACAATCAAAATAACTAGCAGAGTTCCTATGTTCAACAAGTTTAAAGTGAGAATGCAATACCTCCTCTGAATCAATTAACCTCCAGAAACCATCTTTAGACTCAAAAAAGATTCTTCCAGAGCCAGGATCATTGGGAGATGTAGAAGTCGAAAATAGCCAGTATCTGTTACGCCTGCGATCTTGACCTAGTGGTAAAGACCTATACACGTAAAGTTGTTCTGCCTTATGACCAATATATGACTTTAACTGAAAGCGTGGCTTCTCTGCAGCATGCCCATAATGTTGAAGTGGAAAGGAGTCGGGATTTGTGGAAAGTTCTTGTCCTAATACATGCCTCTCAGTTGACATATTATGAATATTATTAAGATTACTTACATCAGGAAATTGATCATTGCTGAGAAATTCTAGGTTTCCATCACTTTCCTTGGTATAAGGAAGTTGCAGAGGAGTCTGACTTCCTTCTGTACCAACGATTACTTGGGTAGACTCAGGCTTGCAATTCAAGAAAGAAGAATACTGTGATTTGTTCAAATATTCTTCTTTATACCGCCTTTTGTCAAGTTGTGCTTCAGCCCACATCTGCTTCTTAAGAGCAGTTGCTGCTTCTAAGCGTTCCTGCATGACATTTGTTTAGCCAAAATAATGGGAAAGAATGATCATAGAAAAACAAAATATGAATAGAAAAGAAAAAGTATGACAAACATTTTCATGCAAATACCTCCAGAATTACACGTATTGAGTTTCCCTCAATAGCCACACCAATTAAAGCGACCAATGCATTAAGGCGCTCCTCAACACTTAGATCAGTATAATCACCTTCTGTTAGACCCTGAACCCATGGATCACCCAAGTTGCTTTCATCAATTTCTGCATCTTCCATATTAGTATTCCGCCCTCCATTGCAGTTTGAACTGATCTCAGTTGATTTAATGGCGCCTGAAATGGATGCTTGGTTGGAATGTACTAGAGTATCCACTTGAAAATCTTTATCAGAATTTCTTAAACTGCAGGGTGGCGTTAGCACAATACCATCACAGAGAATTTCCTTCTTTTTATTATTCACGGAATTTGATGGTACAACTCCTTTTAATTTAGTCATACAAGGCAAATCCTTGTTCATCTTTACTTCCACACTGCAATCATCAACCTCAGGATCATCAGCACCCTCAAATTCAGAATCTTCATCCCTTTCACCATCATCCACATCTTCTGCATCTTTCTCAACTTCATCAGAGTCTGAAAGCCCACACTGAAATATTTGTATTTTTTCCCTGGCAGCTGCAAGTACTGCTTCAGCATCAACAGGATTTTTTCTGAATGCAGTGCGTACGCAGTAAGTTGAAGGAGCAGTTCTTTCAAAAAGCTTTGTATCCCGTGACAATGCTGCAGCTATGGATGCCTCTGGAGTTTTGCTGGTTGTAAGGTCTCTCAATCCAGATTTCTGAAGAAAAAAAGGGAAGTCAGGGATCAATCAGAGATCCAATAGAAGAAAGCAAATTGAAATATGTAGCATTTACCTGAATCTTCTCTGCAACTTCTAGTATTGTTAAGCCTTTGCTTCCTTCAAGGGAAAGAACATAAAATGCTGCAAATTTGACAGTCCCAGGGGTCAACCGGTGGCGAGGCCTACGCCTGTGATTGTATCCTCTTACTTGCATCAAAGCAACAGCATTTTCAGCAGCTGCACCATTCCGTAAAGTTGATATAACATCCTCCCCATCATTACCCTGCAATTGAATTAAACATGCATAGATTACAAGAAACAAATATGATCCAGTTATGAGCATCTTTTCAACAAAAGCCTAAAACTTAAAATAATGATTATGATAATGCCTTGATCCGTAAATCTTGCATAATATTCCGCATCAGTTTAACAAATTGTTGACATACAAACTATAGACATGTTGCTCTGTACTCCACTAATTATGCCATTTATATATTGTAGCTCAAAAATTCAGTCTCTTACACCCTTTATGGCCGAAGACAAGGAAAAGCAGAGACTCATTAAGATTAATCCTTTATTGTGTCCAACATGAGTCATAAAAAAACATGTATGCCAATTAAAACTTTAAAATACAAGTACTGCACCAGTCCTGACCTACTTCAGAAAGGTCTTCTTTTTCGCCATATTTAAATCAGATCTGTTTTTTATATCTCGCCTTGGTATCCCCAGCATAGTTGCGGATTAGATTAATTAGAATAACAAAAATACAAGATTGCGAAGACCAACTGAAACTAAATGCAGTGTATGTCCGGTAAGAATGAAACAACCCGACATGAGTGGATTCATTCAGTGAAGTGTTCAACAAGCAGAAATCGTCTATTAACCAGGCTCATCAGAAACAACCATGTATTGAGATTTAACGAGTCATTAATCCTTCAGTTAACTGTATGATAAATTGGCAAGTACAAATTCTCATAATAATCATGCAATGGCTAGTGTTAAGATGATAACCATATCAGTGATTTACACTCATTTTACTCATCAAGGGCTGATCCTCCAATAAACGTATATTCTCACACATCGCCAAAATTCTTACATTAATATTGAAACAATTTGTTCATTAATAATGGTCTGACCAGTAGTAAAAAACTATTCAAGGCCTTGATCCCTAATATCACTCAAGATATAAATTTATGTTTAACCCATTAAGTTTAGATGATCAATTAATCAAATAGAAAATTAAACAAGGATTACAAGACAATTTAATAGCAAAATCACAAACAAAAAAAAAATCAAAAATCTCATTTTCTAATCTCCTATTTGTGCTACACTTCAGGTACATGTAAAGTTATACAATGTAAGCTCAGTAGAGCTTCTTTTGAGTTACTTCAAAAGATTTTATGAATCAGATTGATATATAACCACAAAAGATGTCTTCAGAAGAGGTTGATAACTCTATAATACATGGGATGCAGTTCATCAATAAAAAGAAAAAAAAAACTCCATATCGTCAAAATTACATCCAGACATTAGCCCTAGATGGCACCCCCATAATCAAATAACTAGCTCTTTTATGACCTTACTTGGACTGCTACATTTTAAGAAAAAAAGAGGCAAGCAGCTTTAGTCAATAGATGGCATCTGACTTCAAGTTCAGAGTATTAATAACGGTTGAGAACAGTCATAGATCACAAATGTGGCGGATTGTTCCCAGCAGATGTAAATCTGTAGATGGCTCTGAATTTATCTAACAAAACCAAATATCACATCTTTGGATAGCTACCGAACTGTCAGACAGTGCGAAAAGCATCCATCATGAGAGCTTGGATTCTCACTCATGCTCTCATTTACATTTTTTTTTTAATTATAATAGAAGGGGTTCTGGATTGCCTCAACTTAAAAAATAAAAACAAAAAACTGGCCCTAATTTTGTAAAATCAGTAGCCAATATGTAAATAGAATGACTGTATGGTCACATCAGCATTACTGAAGAATAGTCAAATCCCAAGAAGCATAAATTCAACAAAATGATTAACATATACACATGCATACATAATATATATATATATATATATATATATATATACACACACACCCTCAACATACCTCATGGCCATCACAAAAATAGACAGAGATAGAGAAAGAGAGAAATTTTAGTTAATTCCTCATGTAATTAAAAGAAAAACAAATAGAATACAATATCATAGTCATTTAATTTGGAGAATGTTATTTCTTATATATTATTATATTTGATCTTCATGACAACTATCAGGCTTCTTAGGTTAGCTAGTTTTCTTTTTTATATTTTTATATATGGGACAAATGGTTAAACTGAAACAATAGGAGATTAATCTAACACCGAACAGCACATTATTTCTGAATTACAAAAAACAAGACAATAAAGCTGAATTCAAAGCAACTTCTACAAAACCACACCTCATGGCCATCGCGGAAATATGTCCGTTCAACATTTCTTTTCTTCAATTGAGGACCGAAACCAGCCGAAAGAGCAAACTGTCGTAATATTTCAGGCCATGTAAAGTAATTCAAGTGTTGCTGCCAACTGCAGATATTGAAACCCCAAGCATAGGCCTAGTAGAGAAATACAAATGTGAAAAACATGAAAGCAAATAAAGAGTAGAATAAAGATGAGGAATGCACACCCCCTCAACAATATGTGGATGACCTCCACCAGGATTAGCAACACTATTTTGATTAACTCCTGGTGCAACAGCTGGAGTCCTTGAAAATTCCTCAATATCTTTAATAACAGATTTAAGCAATGCAACATGTATTTCTCCCAACAACCGTGAATCCTTCAGGAAGACACATGTACAAAAAACAAGTAAGGAGCCAATCACAATTAGCTGGCAAAGGCAGATCAATTCCACTATTCCATCAGCAAAACATTAAAAAGGTGGGCAAGCAGGTATTAAAATGTATAGTATTGGCCATTTTATTTGATGTTCCAAGAGATAATTAGAGTTCAAATCAAAATTATATAATAATTAAGCAATGTAGACTATTTTCAGACCATAATGTCCATGACAGATACAAGGAAATAAACTGTGAAGGAAACAATAACAACATTATTTCAATGGTTAAACAGATTCTAGGATACGAATGATTTAAATCTACAACAACCAAAACATAACCCAAGTCGCTAGAGTTTCAAACTATTAATGAAAAAAAATAGTGGACTATTTGTTCATGACCAAAATCAAACTCAAACGACAAAACAGGGTAATCCACCTCTACTAACGCTGTACTCATATTCATTGTCCTTGCTAGTAGCTTCTAAACACTCCATAGCTTGTTATTTAATCAAATATTCCTCGTCCATAGACATGAACAAGAACACTTGTATCAGTGGCATTCCAAGTAATACTGCTGGCAAGAACAAACCCCTCTAACATTCCCAGTTGAACTTTAATTGGTTGAATATATAACTAAAAGCTTAGCACAACAATTTCTACTGCTCTTCAGTATCAAGACAATTCAAAGATAAATTTTCCGACACTCAACTGTTTTAATTGTTTAACAATTCAGGGGCTTCAATTTCATGAGCAATTTTTTAAAGTTTAAGTCTTCCAAGGTTTTTGCTGTCAAGGATGGATGTTGCCAAAAAAATATATTAAAACATTCCCTTAGTGGTTTAAGGCCTAAATGTTGCCCGTAAAACTTTCCCTTCTTTCATGCAAAGAACTGGAAATAAACATGGAATTACTCTTGATGATAACTTCTTGTTAACTACCAGACTTAAAGTTCTAAAAGATGCAAGAGAAGGTCAGAGAATGATATCATGAGCTACTAATGACAAGAATACAGCCTCGTTTTCCCACACAAGTTGGTGGTAGTGAGTGCATCACAATCTTACTATTGCGCTATGCGCATAATCAAAATAAATCCTTTCAACTTATGATCTAACTTAGTTAGATCATTATTCCTTCTTGTGAGTTAAGGAAGGCACTGTTAATGTTTTGTGCACGTGTTCAATTTTTTCCCATATACCTTAGATCTACCCCCCTTCTTTTAACATCAATTTCTTTCATTCACCTTATATGAGCATCTTCCACACTCCATTATATATGCCCACAGTACCTAATTTCATTTTTTAATGCTTCATCTATTATGTCATCATTTGGATTATTCAAATAAATCCTGTTTTGATTCTAACAGATCCTAGATGCTTCAACTTTCATAAAATATAGTTAGAAAAGGCCACTTCATTATTTCTTTCGAAGAAAAATTCATGTTCTGACATTTTCTTAAAAACTTCCTCAATGGAACCACATCAGATTAGCTGATAACACATTATCAGTTTGGCATATTACTCTACTCAAGCTGGAACTGTTCGGTTTTTATAGCTTAAACAGCTCAAGCTCACCAATAAGTAACATAAAACTGGTAAAATGGCAAATCCTCAAAAAGGAAGAAAAGATGATGATAGAAATGGCTAAGAAAAATTTTCATAAATAACAATCAACCATGTCATGATTGATGCAATAGCTTATAATTCTTTGAAAATATGTGACCATCTGTTTATTTATTCAAGGACAAATGTGGTTGCTTGTAGAAGCAAACCAGTTCAAAAACTAATAAACTTTATTTTGTCAACTTTGCATGTGAAACAAAATTATATGCGAGAGTATTACCAAATTACATAATCTAACAAATTTCATCATTATTACTAATTACAAGCAACAATATGAGCCCTAAGATTAATTATCTGTCTTAATAGTGCATATATCATATATTGTTTATGCCCCCAAACCAAAATGCTACTTCAGAACTCTCTTTAACATAATTTGTTTATACTTGATAATTTCACCACACATAAATTCTAATTTATATCATACTTAAATTAATATTAGTAATTTACTTTTTGTCCAAAGCCCAAACCCATTAATCATAACACTTTCTATTATCATTTTTCAAGATTTTCCATCGAGACAACATGAAATTATATTTTTTATATGCATAAATATAGATCTCCTAAAGGACTGTCTATTGATATATAGGCAAGATGAATTTCTACAAGATAAGCCCTTGATTAGGAATTGAAAATGCAAACAAAGCATATAAAAATTCAAAATTTAAAATAAAAGGTTAAAAACCTAAAACGAAAGATTCATACCAAATAGAAATTGTCTAGTTAACATATATGTTAAATGGGACAACTCCAACACCCAAATGAACTCAAGCAAAGCTGGAGGGCCATACTATTTCAAGACCCTTCTCTTATTATCAAACTACTTATATCCACACATGCAGTAAGAAGATTGTACAATATGGAAATATAATTTGGTAATAAGTAGCCAACTTACATAATCATGAAGGGATTGAAGAAACTCATCCAGGGTGAATGGCCAAAGTCCAAGGGTATCAGCAAATGTAATTAAAAACTTCCAAGCCTGAAAATCATCAAATTGAAGTCAATAAAATCCATTTTAAAAGTGATTCATGATAATTGTATCAAATATTAACTCCAATTTCAAAGAATAAGACCATCACAAGTCATAGTTCTAGATTTTCACAAATATTTACTAAAAATATATAGAAATATTCAACTTTTTTTCCGCAATTATTCAAGTTTTAGACCTCCATTTTAAAGACCAAGGAAATACTGCTCAACCAAATGGTTGGAGGCTCAACAAATAAATTCATCATCACATCAACTTAGGAGACTATATTTTTAATATGAAGATATAAAATGCTGAAGATTGTGGGTTCCCACATCCTGGAACGCACTCCCTCCTTGCATCCACCCAAATTCCCCCTAGAGTAGTGGATCCCACTACGCAGTCAATCATAGTGAGATTAATTGATCACACAGATTGAGAAGCTTAGTAACTGAATGTTCTCCCTTGTAATCATTAGATTGCAATCCATATGCTCCTCTCCCTTCACCAAGCTGCTGGCCTTCCTTTCTAGACTTTTTATTAACTTAGTGTAAATTGCACTGGCCTTTTTCCAAATGTATTATTTTTTTGAGTAGACTATAAATACCTCCAATCTGTGTATAAAAAAGGAAACAATAAAATTCAAAGTAATTTTTCGTATTTCTACATTCAACATGATATCAGAGCGAAGGTTAGCATTTCTTTCTTCCAACATTTGTTCTTTTTTTTTTCTTTTTGTTGATATTCTTCCTTCTCTTTGTTATGCTTATTTTTTATTTCTCATATAATGAGTCTTCCATCATAAATGGTAAAAATTAGACTAAAAAGGAACTCCATGGCTACAAGCCTCATATTGTTTGAATGAGAAAAGCAATCTCAAGTGGTCCCATATTATGAAGACCTTTCTTAAAGGGAAGGGAAAGATCAATCACTATGTGGACCTTCCTCCATATGTAAAGGGCCACTTATTATAATTACACAATAGTATACCCTGAACCATAAAACACTTATTATTATTAAACATAAAATTCCAGATTAAGAAAAAAAAAAAGAATGTAACTTACCATAAGAAAATTTCCCACATTCTCCTCAGAGTCAATCCAAGGTTGAACTGAAAAGGGCTTTTTCAATTTAACTGACTTTGGAGGAAATGTATTCAACAATCCTAAATCGTACAAAAACAAATGTTAACTTGGAATATCTCAGGATATAATTCCCATGAAATTCATATTATCTATCAAATCATATCTCCATGAAAAACCAAGCAGCTTCTAACTTTAGCAAAAGAGACAGGGATGGGAAAAAGTATACCTCTAAAAGAATCAAGTTGCTCAAGAGTTTCACCATCCAATGAAACTATTGAAGCTAAGCCTTTCCTAGATGCTGCTAGCTCCATCAATTCTAAGCGTTCATCTTCAATCAACTCCATAGACTCCTTGGCAATCCTGCGAGCAGTAGCTCTCTCATTAGCAGCCTTGAGTCTTGCTGCTTCCTTTTCCTTTCGCAATTCTTCTTTCCGCCTAAGCTTCTCTGCCTGAATCATCCATAAAAAAACAGTAGCGATACAAAATAAGTCAAGCTGTATTTGGGCAGGCTACTCCAATTTGGAGAGGCCTCCCACAAGAATCCAAACAGGATCTGTGCATGGTCTGCGCCTCTACACTCAAACCATTTACAAAAATAATATTTGAATTAATGAATTTCAGAAGTTCTTGTCATGACACTAACCCGGCGACTTTCTTTAAGTAAGATCTTCTCCCTACGCTCAGTCTCACGCCTTTGCTCCCTCAAAAACCTCTCCTCCTCACGCTGCTTTTCCCGCAACATTCTCTCTTCTTCCTTTCTTCTATCACGATCAAGTCTCTCCATTTCTCTTCGCATAAGCTCTTCTCTCTGCAAAAACCATACAAGATTTGTTGGCAACCTTTGAGAATCATGAAGTTGATTTTGTTATCAATAAAGCTAAACCTTTCTTCTAAGGCTATCCTGCTTTTCCAGCTCTTTCCTAATCCTTTTCTCATGTGCTTCAACTTCCTTTGCAATCCTTGCTTCTTCACTCTACAAAGCAAAACTGGACATAAACAACAAGATAAAGTAATTCCCTTCAAGTAGCAAAATACAAGAACATATGTACCTTGCGTTTTCTATCAGTTCGACATGAATCTTCTTCTCGGATGATCCTCCTCTCAGATGATGAAAATGGGTCTTCCAGCCCCAAGGATTGGTGGATGCCAAATTGAGGATCAGCTGTGCTATTTCCAAAAGGACTTCCATGCGGAGCAGTGTCATATTCATTTGTATAAAGCTGCTCCCTAGCTTGTTGTGATAGAAGGCCAGAGCTTGAAATGTGACCTTGGAAAGTGTAAGTAGGTGCAACATGATCATTTCCATGCAGATATTGGCTTCCTGCAGGTAAAGATGGCATTCGAGAACTTGGAGCAGCAACAGGAGAGTCATAAAAATGAGATTGGGGCACCCTTTCATATGACTCAGATCGGATGCTTGGCTGCTCTGGAAGGAACTGATACTCCTGAAGCGTCCTGGGAGGCACCTGTGGATGAACTGCATGAACCCCACTGCCTGCGATTTTTCTTTTCCCAGTTAATGAACTAGGCAAAAAGGACTGGTCCATGCTAGGCAAGAATGCTGAAGTCTGAAAATGAGAAACATGTGTACAATTAAAACCATCAAAGCATGGCAAAAAATAAAAATAAAAATCACAGCCATCAGAAACTAATTGCAGGCACTAAGGCTACACACATGAACATACATATATATATATATATATAACTTCACAATCTGATAGCGTGGAGACCTCCCAAAAAAAAAGACAATTCAACATTTGCATATCATCAAGTGCTTATGTGACGTGTCCATACAAAACATGACATCATTAGTGAAGGAGTAAGGTGATACATTTGATTGTCACAAGGATAGGCATACTAATATTCTACATTTTAAATATTTAATAAATAGAAATATGATTAAAAAACAAGGGCAAAGTGAACTTCGCTCTTTATGGTAAGCCTCATTTGCACTTTACCTCCATGAGTCCATGTACATAAAATAGGGGTGTCAATTTATGATCCGACCCAAAAATCCGACCAGAAAAATCTGGTTTCGGGTTGACCCGTCTAACAAATAGATCAGGTTCGGTTCTAATTCCCAACCTGTTTGAAAAATCGGGTCAGGTCCGAGTCAACCCGCTAACACGAAAATGACCCGCATCCCCACCCCCATCTCCCTCATGCACAGCATTGCGCTGCTCTCATGCCCTACCTGCTGCCAGCACCGCATCTCACTCCCACCTGCAAAACATGACAATGTCCTGCTCCCACCCGCACGGTCGCAACACGTGATTGCATGCTGTGTCTCGCTCCCGAGTTCTGCCAGCACCACATGAGTAGTGACCACATCCAGACTCCAATCCACACTGCGTCCTGCCCAGCTGCACTCGCAGCTGCACTTTGCGCTCGATGTCCCCTGCTCTTTGCTCACCCGGGTCCACAAGTCGAGTTGGCCCAAATTTTAGGCGGGTAGAGTCCGAGTTCAAATTTTTTACTCAATTGTGTAGAAGGGTCGGGTTCGGGTTGGAGCAGTCAAGGGCAGGTCAATTTCATGTTGGACCTGAACCAGACCTAAAAACCCATTTTGATAACTTAAAAATACACGCATAATCTTTGTGATTAAATAATTGGCATATCAATTCAATATATTAGTCAAATGGCTTAAAGGGTCAAATGCAAATTTGGATCTCACCCAAAAAATAGTAAAATACAAGAGGTTTCTATGCTAATTTTTAAATGTAAGGGTCAAACATATATTAGATAAATCATAGGGTAGTTGCGTGCATTTTTCCAAAAAATCAAATGTAAGGAAAATAAAATAAAATAAGTTTCAAAATCCAAGCTCCATAATTTGTAGGCTTGTAATAGGACAGAACTCTTAAAAAATTAAAAGGAAAAAATCTTGCCAATCATATTCTTATTAAAAAAATATATGAAAGATATTTATTATATGTTAAAGAGAAGTCTCAGGCATTAGAGGCTATGTCTTGGGTTTACAAGATGTACGCATTGTAGGACGTACACCTCTTGGCTGCCACAGGTAATGTTACCTTCCTCTGTCCCACGAAAAAGGCCTTTAAAAACAGGATACAGACACATGCATATATGTGAATGCACATGCATACCAAAGCAATTCCAAACTAAATCTACATAAATTCAAAGATTCATCCTCTAGTAAATTGAATAAGAGTTGACTAAACTTCTAAAGAGTAAAAGAATTTTTATAATGTGAAGGAGAACCAAACCTTCATTGACTTCCCATCATAAGATCGAACGAGTTGCTTTCCCTGGGTTGACAGTCCTAGTCATCAAATGAAGCAAAAATTGTATTAGAAGCCCAACAAATGCATTTATAAAAGCCTAAGTGAACTAGCACAACAAAGTATCAATATTGCTAACAAAATTTAATTTGTATGCACAAAAACTTTGATTTTCTTCATATGGCATTATGGATTCCTTTGTATTCTCTAGGAGAAATTCAAAAGCAAACCAAAGAGTAAATGCTAATATCTCAAATAAAAAGCATTAGCCAGATACCCACAAATTATGGTTAAAGCTTAGGAGAGGATGCATGCCCTTATATGCAAGCGAAAGCATTCTTAATCACAGAATAACTAAGCATCTTAAATTTAACAACAGAAAGAAGAAAATAAAAAATATGGAACTCAGCAAAAACTCAACTGCATTTCAATAAAGTCAAAAAACCAAATGCATTTCTCAAAGAGTGTGGGTAAAACAATAATTTTCCTCCTCTTAAACAAAATCTCCTAATGTTCCTTTCAGAATGCGTTCCCTTGAGCATGCTACGTTACATTAGATGAGGAAGTAACTTAACAAAGTAGTTTTTAGTTTCAGAAAATAACAGTGCATTACATTATAAACAAAGTAGCACTATACAATGCATGGGAGATAAGAAAATTGATATTTAAGGTTATATTAAAATTTTATAAAAGTAATGAGATTTTATCTTTCATTCGTATTTAGGATACATTCTTATAGCAGAGTTAATGATTCATTTTCAAGAGATCTTCTGTCATCGAGTCAAATATAAAAGGATATAACAAATTATTTTGATTTAACTGTTACAAAAAATTTAAAAAATATAATGAAATTATTTTTAAATAAAAAACTTTTCAAATTCATTCTTTGTTTGAACGTAAAATTTTAAAAAGGAAATAGTACATAAATTATATTACATGTATTAAATGGATTTAAAAAAAAACAGAATCTGATTTTGAAAATGAACACTCACCTTATGCTATCTTTAAAGATGGTATGCATTCACTTTGTTTGTACTTTCAATATTTACAGTTAAATTTAAAATTTGTTTAAAATCTTATAATAATTAGAAAAGGGAACCCTTAATATCACCTATAATGAAAATATAATAATTAGAAGGGCACAAGTTATAAAAATTAAATTCGACATTAAATTGAATGAATGCAAGTGGCTTAATTCTTTTTAAGACTTTAAATAAGTAAAATGGACCGCTCCTATCATTTTAAGAATTTGAAGGGAAATTTCTCTTTCATTGTGGATTATTAATATGCTACAAGGAAAGACAACTGTAAAAGCCCTGATCAGCATTAATTTCCTTCCATAGGCAGATACTTGCAACCACAAAAAGGGTGCAACATAGTAAAATAAAATCTAAAACTAATGCAACTCTTGATAAATTCAACATTGCCCATCAAATCAAAGCTTGTAAACGGTCAGTAGCGATAAAATTCTGCAACTCAAAGACAAGCATGCTAGCTATGCGAGAGATTTTCTATCAGTGTAGCTGTCAATCTTGTCTATAAGTCTCTTTCTCACACACAAATCTTCTAAATATTTGCAATATCTTCAGTACTTATACCCAAAATACAAATCTAATCCTTGCAAATGTTTGGTAGTTATGAAATTAAACTTTCAATCTTAACAGTTATAAATATAAAACAAAAGAGAATCTGCTTAAATTAGTAATCGGAACAATCATCATCAAAATAGAAGATTATGAATATGACTACTTGTATATAATATGCAACGGCCAATTAACAAGAGCAACATTTTCATCAATATGAAAGGCATTCAAGTAAATAATAGTTGTAATCTAAAAAAATAGTTACCTGAACTCTCGAGTCTATCCAAAAATTGAAGACTTGAAGCATGTACATGAGTTGAATGAGCAGGCGTCTCAGATTCTTAGAAGCACGTAAAAAAGAAGAAATAAGAATTATGAGGCAATTGACCATGCTTGGAGCAATCATAAACAATAAAAAGATGAAAATTTTATTTAACAATGAATTCAGCTTATAAAATATTAATGAGCTTGATTCAATATGAACAAATCTCAGTTTTCTCCTGCATGAAATAATCACAAGATTAGTGACTTCATTTCCCAAAACTTCTCCGCTAGCAGACACTATAATTCTTTTGTCATGACAATACTCATATATCCTAGCAACGAAAACACTGAATCAGTAAGACATCAGAAGCTCCAGTTAAGAAAAGACATTACTTCTCAGGAACTAACTACTAAATGAGTACCCCGTGCAAGGCAGTGAAACAAGCATTGATTTTTATTTTATTTTTACTTTTTTAAGTTGATTTTTAAATCATTTCTGCCAGTCATACTGGCTACAACAGAAAGCAAAATAACATATATATTTAACCATTTGAACATACGAATCACCATACTGAGCACAATGTTAGCATATACATGCATACATACATATATATATATATAGTCGCAAGATTGTCGGCAAAGGAAGAAGAACAACAAGCATAAAAATATTACTCATGTGCCACATTTTAAAAATGATGCAATTTTCCAGATGATTTTCAGGAAATGTTCAACAGTCCACTATTATATATGCATTCACAAATGTTCACCACTGCATCGCTGTATCTTCATTTCCAGCTATGTAAGTCACAAATCCTTTATACACCAATTATGCAACATATTACTATGGAAACCAATATTTTTTTCAGTAGTCACCCAATAAGTGGGAATTGTTGAACCCCTCATCACACTTATGAGATGGGGAGAATACAACATGAGCAATGCTAATTCGTACATGGAAACCAACAAATAAGCATCACGCAAGTAAATTCAGCAAAAGTAAAAATAAAGTCTTCTTGCAATGTGACGACTACAACAACATCATCATCAAGCCTTAATCCCACTATGTAGGGTCGGCTACAACTACAATAAACAAAAAATAAAGTAAAAGTTAGAGATGCTTGAACTTGGAACACAGCTAAATATCCTAAATAAAACTAAATGGGCATCGAACATAGAACTAATCCAGAAAAATCATCATAGCAACAGTTGGCCATAAGGCTGGCAGCAACTACTCTCTGTGGGCCAGCATGTTATGGGATCATGTGTGGGTCCAATTGATAAATTTCATCCAAATTTGTTGCTTTCTTATCCATTCCTAAATTATAGTTGTTCATTTTTTTATTTTTTTTATTAGTTACTTGAATCAAGGCAGGAATATGTTTAGCCTTCAAATTTTAATAGGACTTCTACTTGAATTTAGCAAGTAGTTGCAAATTTGAATTCTCATTTCTACTATAAATAGGTGTTATTTGATGTATTGATGAGAAAATTTCTAAAAGATCAAATTCAAATTAAATTTGCTCCTTGGCTTCGTTACTTTGAATGTGCTTTACTAATTGAAAACAAAATGTATAAAATTAAGAGAGAAGGAAAAAGGATTAAGAGGGATTTGAAAGATAAATAGAGAAAAGAGAAGAAAACAGGGTCCGAGAAGTAAGAGGAAGGAATATTGAGTATCAAATATTATACCTGATATAAGTCTCGATAATAAAAAACATATCTCTTTGTCTGGCGATGCATGTAGCAAGCATTGCGAAATGACGTAAATCACTCATGCCATTCTTATCTTATGTGTTTTTCAATCAGGTTTATTTTATCTCCCTCCATCTCATTCATGTTATTATTTTAAGGATGTGCTTTGCTCTACAATTGGCATCAAAGCTTAAAGCATGCGACATTCGAAAAAAATTGAGAAATATTAATCAAAGATAGGGATTTAAAAACAAAAAGTTTATATAAAGACTTTGGGTACTACAAAACACAAAACTAGGATTGTCCGTACCTAAGAAACATACGTCTTTGTCTCACTTTGAGCCAAAGCTCATGATGATAAGTCAAGAAGATTGGGATCACATGGACAAACAAGAGTTAGGGATTGTCCAGATGACACTAACAAAAAAATATTTCCTTCAATATATTGCACAAGAAGTCACAACATATCAAAATTTTTCAATCTCAATACTTTTAAAGGTTCCCCTATAGGAAACATGATAGTAGTCAGCATGGTTTAAAATTGCGCAATATGAGGCCCGCCTTTGCGCAATTCCAGAAAAAAAACGTCTCGATGCTTACGCCTCGAGTTTTTTTTATGAAGCTTGCGCCTCAACTTGGTTGAGGCCCGCCTCGCCTCACGCTGTATATATACTAAAGCTTACGTAAATTTTAAAGTAAATGCCCGACATTGGACTCTATAGGAGAGGATGAAGGGGGGGAGAGCAATTCATCATAATGATGATTCAAATGAAGAACCCTTTAGTGATGACAGTGTTGATGATTTATGAGTTCTTATGTGATATGTCATTGCTACTTATTTTTGGAAATTGGAATTATATGTTAATGAAAAGAATACTGAGATTTCGAAAAGATAGAATTTTGAGTTGAACTATATTTCACATTATCTTATTATTGGGATATTTTGATTTCACTTAATATTTTATGCTTTTTTATGTTTTATATTATTCACTCATGAGTATATAAAAAATTTATCATTTTATATTTACGCAATCTTTTGATTTTGAGGCTTACGCCTCAAAACGCCTTGAGGCTTACGCCTCGCCTCACGAATGAAAAACACATCAATACCCGAATACGCAATTTTAAACATTGGTAGTCAGCAACCCAAGCAAATTTACAAAGTCGATGCTCAATGATATATCTGGCATGATCTAGAATGAGGACACCAATAGATAAGAATCAATGAATGATCAAGGACAAAGATTATGCTTGAGATTAGCTGTCCATTTATTTTACACTCATCAAACAACTAAAAACATTTCAAATACATTTATTCCTTTTACATTGTATTCCTTGTACTCTGCTTTGCTGTTTCAGCAAAACAATGGCCCAAAAATTAAGGTCTTTACGGATTCTAATTTCCCTAAAAAATACTTCGCATCTATTTTACGTGATACAAAATACTTAAAAAATCAAAACTCATGTATTTTGTTTACTTACACCACTATTATTTGCAACCAATTAGTCCCTAAGTGAAATTTTTAATTTTTTCGTCTCGCTCTTAGCTTTATAAAAAAATAATACTTTGGTTATGTCTTGACATTCGGTGGTTATTCTTGGATTGTGACAAAAGTGCAATGATGATAGCAAGTAGAAGAAAGGATGGTACCATGCATGTAAGATCAAACACTAGTAAAAAGGGAGAAACTATTGAAAGCTATTAGTGATTTTAAAGGAGTAATGCAGAATAAAGCTTTAATCAAGTAGGAACTTCCAAAGAAAAAAAGAGCATTGCAAGGCAAATTGTGCCACAGGATCAAGGAACAACAAAGTTACAAGGTTAAAATTATGGCAAAAGCTAATCGGCTTATCACAGACAAAAGGAGGTACTAAAGAATCCCAGTCAACCATTGTGGTTAATAACTAAGAGGTGGAGTTGCACAAAGATTACCTCACTCGTGAAATTACAACAATAACAACAACAACATGATCAAGCATTTATCCCACTATGTGGGATTGGCTACATGAATCATTTTTCTCCATTGTGTCCTGTTAAGAGTCAAATTCTCATTTAAATCTAATAAAGAAATGTCATTTCTAATATTTTCTAACCAAGTCTTTTTAGGTCTATCTCTATCATTCTTAAAATAAGTCAAATCGAATACATCTACTCTCCTAACCAAGTCATCAGAAGGCCGCCATTCCACCGCCAATATTTCATACACAAGGAATTGTTGTAGATATCAGGTGCAGCACTTAGTGCTAAGAGAATTTGATGAAGTAAAGGAGGCATCCAATGATAGGTAATGTCATTGGTGGCATGGGCTTCTGGTGAGGATTTTCAGTCAGTAAATTGAACTTTCAAGGAGATCAGTTGTCTATTTGAAGGTTGGTAGTAAGATTGGCAAGGCAATGGAAACTACAAAAATGGGTTGGTTGTACATTGAAGATTCACAAACATTGTGATCATCAATTGCTAGGACCAATGAGTAGTTTGACGGTTGGAGAGGAGACAATAGGCATCATCCAATTTCCAACATGAGGACCAAAAAAATCAGTTGGATGAGAACAACAACTTGGGCAAGTTTGATGGTGTGGATGTCAATGGAGGTAAATCAACAGCCAAAGCCCCTCAATCAGCACTTTGAGGTCAGCATAAATTAAGAACAATGATGGATGCTGAATAAGGCCATTCAACATTTTTTACTATTTATGATTAAAAATTCAGTCATCAACTATCCACAATAAAGCTTTGTCTCAGCATGTTGATATCGATACTTCAAATTGGATGCTCTTTCAGCGAAAATCTACTAATCACTCCAACCCACTATGTAATCTAAGAACTCATGAAGACAGTGCATTTATAGCAATAATACATCATTCAAGCCAATCACCAATCCACAATTTAAATGATAATTACCATGTACTCATTCATGTCTCAAATCTTGCAACTCTTAAGCCTAGGCCTTCAAGTTAGCTTATCTATTCCATCATTTCAAATGAGAATTTGATCCATTTTAAAGTTTAATTCATGACTACAAAGCTACATTCCAAGATTCTATGCAAATGCTTATATTTTAGTGTAATAAGAAAGAGGCCTAACCAAACAATTAAATTCAAACAACAAAACCTACTTCCAAAAAGGCCAATAATATTTTATTTAGAGCCATGAAAATTTGAACGCCCTTATAAAAAGATCTAAATAATATTTTAAAGCAATAAGCAGCAAAAGCAAAGTATTTCTCAGATTTTTCTTTCTCTCATTCATAATTGAAGTTCTTTCAAAGAAGTAATGGCATATTATTTCGCTCAAAAGCCTTATCAACCCACAACATGACCAACTCCAATTGAGATAATTAGCAGTAATACTATATTCGATACTGATCATGCATTGCATTTTTCCAAAATGAAGAAAAAAGGTCAACTTTCACTTAAAACTTATCATGTTCAGGTACCAAGGCAGCTCCCAAGCAAACGATATGTTACTAGATTTTATTTTTATAATAATATGCATGATCTTTCTGTGTGCTCTTATTTAAAGATTCAACTTGTGAAAAGCTTAAATAAATGGCAAGGCCAACTTTATCATTTCTAAACAAATATCAAGAAAATATGTAGTGCTTACAAAATTAAAAAGAATGAAAATAAATATAAATAATAGCATAAATTAATATCCAACATTGCACAAAGGCAAACCATGAAAAAACAATAGACATGTGAGAGCATCAACGTCAATACCAATAGGCGCACCAAATGCTCCCGGGGGCAACGGATCAAACTCGACACCAAGAATTGGGCCATCATCCCTAAGTGGCTCCCCGAGCTGTCCCTCTACCGACGCAATGATTCGGAGCTCCAAAACTGATAGTTGTCGCGGTTGCGGAACCAGGATAGGCTGTTCATAGTACCTCTTACCTAATGAAACCTCAGCCCCAATTCTAGAGACCCCCGGTGACACCCTTGCAACGGCCTTTCTCAGTTCCCCGCTGCCTACAGGAAAGGGGATTGAACTAGGGCAGATAGATGATTTCCCAGGCGGTGCAATCATCTCCCTCCCTGATGGCGGAGGCGACAGAGGCTCCTCCACCTTCTTTGCCTTCTTCCCTGGGGCAAACTTCCGGTCCTTAAGCCTCCGGTGGCAAAACCACATCTGAAGCTGCCGATCGGAAAGCCCAGTCTTTGCCGACAGCTCCGCCCTCACCGTCTCCGACGGGTAAGTCTCCACTGCTCGGAATCCCATAAACAAATCAAGACCTAGAAACAAACATCGAAAACAACAAATAGGGGAGCAAAAATTAAAAGAATACTAACCGGCATAAGTCTTCTCAAGGATCTCTAACTGGTAGGGACTCTTCATCTTACGCTTAGGCGGCTTGTCCTCGCCACCCTCGGGAAGCTTCTTCCAGCCTTCCGGCGGTGGATTTCCATCCCCGCTATCGGCGATCTCCATCATTGGCCGAATTGGCCGAAACCCTAGATCTGGAACTCGAACTAGCGATTAGGGTTTCTTTTACGGTAAAACTGGATGGAGCGAATTACTTGACGCATTAATTTATACCGCCCCGTGGATGCGGAAAAGAGGAATTTGGTATCTTGCGTGGAGAAGAAACGAACCAAGCAATGAAAAAAGAAAACCCCAACAGAAGACGAGATGTGCGGTGGGATTTGTCAAGGAAGAACGCGATGAGGAGAACAAAAACACCACCAAATAAAGATTGAGAAAAAGAGGCAGAAAGAGAAGCGGAGAGAGAGCGTAGCTGTATTGAATAGAAGAAGGTAATAATAAAAATAAGAATTGGAAAAAAAAAATTGCAAGGAATTTGATTGATCTCGTATTGGGTTGGTTTAAAGATAGAATAATCCGACAGATAAGCGCAGTGGATCGCTTCCATCGTTTTTTTGCAGGTGGAGAAAAAACACGTTTATGATGATATTGTGGACTCGATAATTTTCGCTTTTTCCGCCTCTACCAAAAAAAAGTATTTCTTCTAAAATCGAAAGAAATTTTTAAGAGAGGGAGATGAAAGAGCGATAGAGCTCGGTGCATCGAATTGGAAAGCGCAACCGGCCTTCAATCTCGATCTCGATCTCGATCTCGATCTCGCTTGGGTGGATCGGTTCGTTGATTTTTTGTATTTTGATCTTTTGTTATCGGGCTCGGGCGGGTCAGCGCCCGTGGAATCTGTCACTGGGCGGGTAAGGGCCCATGGAATCGTTTAATGGGGGGACCCAAGTTATTTGTTCAATTAATTGAGTTTATAATTATGTTGTAGTTAATTATAAGGGACAAAAACAATAATTGCATTTATATATAAAAATGCAAAATTGAAATTTGATTATAGAGAACAAAATTGCAAAATATAATAGAAATTAATTAGTAATATTTTGAAATAGAGAAAAAATATTTATAGGCTTTGCTGGCATAATTTTGAAGTATAATTATAGTGAGGACTTAATTCGAGGCAGATATAGTTTATATGTTTGCTCAATTAATTCGTTAAAAACTTAGGAGAAGTACTAATGCATGCTATGTGATTTGAGGTTTATTATTGATACTACATCAAATAGTTTTGATCGAGCACGAGTCTCGGGGTATATTTAAGTTGGAAACTTTCAAAATTAAATGCAAGACTATTTGAACTCCAATTTCAGCAAACTTATAGTCAACTTGAACGTCTCAAAATTGCAAACCCAACGACAAAAAAAATCGGTCCAATCTGAGCCCAAATGGGTTCAAATCCGAAGCTTATTTGGAAGGTTCAAAGCCTAAATTAGATGATCAAATGATATTCAAGTATAACATGTTTATACTCGAATCGAGCAGCTCGATGAGACAAATCCAACAAGCTCAATATCACTTAATTCCGACATCATTAAGGCACTTAAACACTTGAAAAATAATATATGGTCGGGGGAATCAATAAAAGCCGTCTATTAGAGCAATCAATATCTTCTCCATATTTACAAGGCATGTCACTCTCAAAAATTTATAAATAAACTCCACTCTCTACATAAAGGAGGACCTTTGGGCATGGATTGGAGAGCGCTCTGAAGCTTCAAGAGCTCCAATAGTGTTGTAATTTAGTTTTCTTATCATATGTGTTTTTTATGGTTCCATATATTATTATTTTGATTATTGTTTCTCCTAATATATATTAAATATATTATTTTTGTTGTTTGTGAGTATTAACATTTCAAGAAAATTATACTCCAGACTGTTGAAGACTTCAAGTCATATTAGATTATGGTTCATTGTAAATGGAATCTATATTTTATGTTTTTATTGAGTTTGAGATAGTGTGATTGTAATTGGGTAATCGTGCACGCACACACTAGGGGAGTGCTAAAACTTAACAATTTTTTAAACTAATCATATTATACGATGTCGTATCATACAGGACGATTTGTTCAATTATTTCCTCCAGAAAGCATTTAATCGAATAATAGACAGAAAAATTTTTAAGTACTGTTCGTACTGTACGAAGTTGACTTCATACAGACGATTTCCAGATTACAAAAATGATGCAAACATTTTCATCCATACGGACATGTAAATTTTTTGAACTGTTCGTCCGGGATAATCTGGAGTTCGTGTAGACGACTTCTAAAGTATGAAAATGATGCGAACATTTTCGTCCATACGAACAGGTAAATTTTTTTTATTGTTCGTCCGAGACAATTTGGAGTTCATACAGACGACGTCCAGAGTACGAAAATGATGTGAATATTTTAGTCCAAATGAACAGGTAAATTTTTTGAACTGTTCGTCTAGGACGATCTGGAGTTCGTATAGACGACGTCTAGAGTATGAAATTATGGGGCATATTTTCGTCCAGACAAATAGGAAAATTTTTATAACAGTTCATAATGTACAATATACATACCGTATTGTATGATATGCTTGTACAAAATTATTTTGTGCAGGATCGTACGAGCAAATTTTGAATTATTCGTCTGGGATGATTGTCGATCGTATTGTATGATCGTGAAAGCTCAAAATTAAAATTTTCAATTTTCTGGATGATTTTTTATGTCTTTCATATATAAGGTTCTTAAAACTGACTTTGGACGAATCCTTCTTCATTTTTCTAGAGAGAAAAAGTGTGAGAGTGAATTGGGAGAGTATTTGTGAGAGAGTTCTTACAAATTTGAAAGTGTGAAGGGTTCACAAGGTTACTCAAAGGTGAGAATCTCTTTGTGTTCTTTGCAAATCTCTTCCTTACGTCTTTGAAGATACTCGAGGGAAGATCTTTGAAGAAGGTCTGGTTCTCTACCGGCACCATGAGGGTATGAAAGAATGTCAGTTCTCTGTCGACACTTAGAGAGTCTGAAAGGACGTTGGTTCTCTGCCGACACTTAGAGAGTGAGAAAGAACGTCAGTTCTCTGCCAACACTTATAGAGTGTGAAATGATGATGGTTCTCTATTGATATTTGGAAGGTGTAAAAGGGTGACAGTACTCTACTACACTAGGGATTAGTGAAAAAGAGGGTAATTGTAAAGGCTTCTCCGTCTTGCTATGGAAACAAAAGGAGAGTCACTTTGGTAATAGTGTAATACCTAAAGAGGGAGTCCTTAAGGAGTGGACGTAGGTCTAGTTGGACCGAATCATTATAAATCTTTATGTTCTTTTATTTTTCAGCATTTTATTTTGGTGGTTGAAAATTTTATTTTGAAAAAAATTAAATGTGCTAAAATTATTAAACAATTTTCTTAAAATTCTAAAAATATTTTAAATTACCAATTCACCCCCCCCCCCCTCATAGTTAGTATTGGGACAATTACGTTATATCTAATAACCTATACAAACTTTTCAAGTGGTATCGAGATGATTTCAAATTTAAAGTTTAAATTACTTTTTGAAAATAGATTATGGCTACTGTTGGAAACCGTAACACACCTGAAGGGTATTCGATCACTAGATCCCCATTATTTGGTAACATCCATTTTAATTTTTAGAAAATAAGAATGTCAACTTTTCTTCAATCATTTGATTGTATCTAACAACTTATACAAACTTTTCAAGTGGTATCGAGATGATTTCAAATTTAAAGTTTAAATTACTTTTTGAAAATAGATTATGGCTACTATTGGAAACCGTAACACACCTGAAGGGTATTCGATCACTAGATCCCCATTGTTTGGTAACATCCATTTTAATTTTTGGAAAATAAGAATGTCAACTTTTCTTCAATCACTTGATTATCGCATATGAATTTTAGTACATAAAGGATACACTAGGCCAACTAGACTTGTAGATGGCATTATAATTGAAACATCGCTTACTGATTTGACATTAGAAGAATGAGATTTAGCTCATTTAAATGCTAAATATTTGAACAATTTTTTCTATGCACTTAAATCTAAAGATTACATGTGTATTTCTACATATAAAAGTGGAAAAGATTTTTGGGATAGACTTTGTATCACATATGAAGGGACTAATTAAGTGAAATAATATTAATTAAATATTTTGTTGCATAATTATGAACTATTTCATATGAGACGAAATGAATCCATCACTGACATGTATATACGTTTCTCTCAAATAGTCACCTCCTTGAATGCTTTAGGTAGAAAATTAACGAATACAAAAAAATGAATAAAATATTTCATTATTTACCTACTACTTATGATGCTAAAATTACTGCTATTATCGAGTCTAAAGATTTAACTATTTATTATATTGATAATCTTCTTAGATCACTAATTACTTACGAGTAAGGAGTGACTCGAAGACATATTGATGCAGGTGATAAGGGAAAGGAAAAGAGTATAGCATTGAAAGTGGATGACTCGGAGAATGATCAGTCTTAGTTTGATGATAAAGATGGCATTGCCTTGATGACTAGGAAATTCAAGAGTTTTTTAAAGAGGAAGCAAAGGAGACGCCACTAGTGGAATAAAGGTAAGTTCCACAAAAATATTAAGGCTTCTAATGATATGATTTGCTATGAATATAGGAAACCTAGACACATCAAATCTGATTACCGTAATCTCAAAGCCAATCATAACAATGAGAATGTGTAGGAGAAAACAAATGTGAAGAAGGGTAAAAAGAGGTTACTGAGAGCTTTTTGGGTGAACTCAACTTCAGATTCGTTAGAAACAAAAGTAGATTATGAAGTCACCAATCTGCATTTGATGACTGATAAGCTTGATCAATTAGATCAAGAAGATATATATGACTTAACTTAATAAGAGTTATTTAATGTTTTTGAAAAGATTCAAACAGTATATAGAAAACTTAAGAAAATACATACTTTATTAAATTTAAATTTCCTTGAACTACAAAAAGAGCATAAATCCTTAGGAAAGATCACGTATAATTGATAGAAACTACATGAAATTGTTAGATGAGTATGATGAATTGAACAAATAATATGAATTATTAAAATAATCTCACACTAAACTAGAAAAAGATTTTAAAACTTTTATGGATGAATCTGATAGTAGATAGTATTATTTTAAAGTTGACTATGTTGTATTAGAAAGTGCAAACTCATTCTTTAAAGCACAATTGAAAGCACTCGAGAAAAATATAAGACCTCGTGAGAGTATTTGATACCTGGACATCAGATGTTCAAAATATATGGCTGAAGATATAACACAATTCGTATTGCTAGAAGCTAGAATAGTGGGAAAATTTCTCTAAGAGAAAATACCACTAAGAAAGTGGTAGGCACATATATGATTGAAAACTTGAACAAATTTTTTATTGAGAATATTTTACTTATAGAATGCTTGAAGCATAATTTGTTGAGTATTAGTCAACTGTGTGATTAGGATTATAGTGTTAAATTTTTTCCCACTAGCTGCATATTAAGCCAAAAAAGAAATGATATACTGCATGAAACTAGGGTAAACAATGTGTATATGCTAGATTTGAATTGTATTAAATCTTCTAATACTTTTTGTTTGAAAATAATTTCTGATAAAGTATGATTATGGAATATGAGACTTTTTCACGCTAATATGAAAACCCTTAGAAAAA